TCTCTTCTCTTCTTTTCTTTTTTCTTCAGTGGGTTATAGCAGGGTATAGGAAAATTCAGTATTTTAATATGCTAGTCACTAAAATGCAGAGATTAACTCTACATTGTAAAATTTGTTTTCTGGTACTTCTGATTAGTCTTGGGAATTGTTTCTTTCCTGTAAGCTTCAACTGTCAGTTGGTGAAGATTTTATCTATTTTGGTAGTGAATCCCCAGATAGCTCCTTCATCCCCTCCCTGTTACATGAGCTCAGGCCATTCTGTACTGTTCCTGGTAAAGGAAAACTGCTTCCTGTGTCAAGGGGCCCTATAATACCAAGAGCAGGGCTCCTTTTTACCTGCTAACTGTGCCGTTGTTGATAAAATATGACAGAACTGGGATGGTCTGCTTTTCCTTCCTTCTTCAAACAGCACTAACCAATTCCTCAGAATGACTTGCCTGTTCTCTTTTTGTGAGGCATAAAGTATTTGCTGGAAATGCAACATGACTTATTTCTTATTGCATTTATTTTTGTAACAAGGTCTCATAATGTAGCTCTGACTGATTTTGAACTTATGGAGATCTGCATGCCTGTTCCTCTCATGCTGGAATTAAACCTTTAGTAGCTTTTTTTTTCTTGACACAGAGGCTGTATGTAGCTAGCCCTGGCTGTCCTAGAAGTCCATATAGAACAAACTGGCCTTGAACTCAGGAGATCTGCCTGCTTCTTCCTCCAGAGTGCTATGATTAGAGGCATGTACCACCATGCAGAGCTGTTACTTGTTAAATATGTTTTATTTCAAAGTAGTTATCAGGTGATCATATAATAGAACAACCCTCCTTCCTATAATTGAAGCCTCTCAATTCCTTATTCTCTCTTTCCGTCACTATCTCTGTTCAAATCAGAATTCGAATTCTTTTGACTCTTGTCGTTTTCTTTTGAGATGGGACTCGCTATGTAGCCCAAACTGATCCATCGCTGGTGATTCTCCTGCCTCAACTATTGAATGCTGGGTGTGCACCACTGTGAATGCACCACTCTGCCTGTCTTTCTTTGTGCTCTTTACCAATACCATGATTTTTTTTCCACTTTCATCCCAGCTCTTCTTCCTGGTGTTGTTAAATTTTTCCCCTTTTCTACTTTTATTTTTAATACTATGAAGGCATTCATTCTCCCAGGTATATAGAAGCTTCATAGAAAATGTCACTATATGAATACCTGCATTCAAAGACAATGATGCTATTTGTATTTTCTATTTATCATGTCAGGTTCTGAGAACAGGAATGGGAATGAGTCAACCTTAAAGGCTGAAGTTAAAGAAGATTCCACCTCACATGGGGAGATAGCAGGAAGATTCCAGAAGGAATTTGGAGAGAAATGGGAACAGCAGGGCAGAGTAGTCGAAAGGCAACAGAAAAATCCTGAAGAGAAAACTGGCAAAGAGAAGAAAGAGCCTGGGCCACCTACAGCCAAGGAAAAAAAGCCCACCACAGGAGAGAGGGGCCCAAGGGAGAAGGGTAAAGGTTTGGGAAGAAGCTTCAGCCTGAGTGCAAACTTTAATAATACCCCGGAGGAGGTTCCATCAGGAGCAAAGACTCATAGATGTGATGAGTGTGGGAAATGTTTCACAAGAAGCTCAAGCCTTATCCGCCATAAAATTATCCACACTGGAGAGAAACCCTATGAATGTAATGAGTGTGGCAAAGCCTTCAGTCTCAATTCAAACCTTGTCCTTCATCAGCGAATCCACACGGGAGAGAAACCTCATGAATGTAATGAGTGTGGCAAAGCCTTCAGTCATAGCTCGAATCTCATCCTGCACCAGCGCATTCACTCGGGAGAGAAGCCCTACGAATGTAACGAGTGTGGCAAAGCCTTCAGCCAGAGCTCAGACCTCACAAAGCACCAGAGAATCCATACAGGGGAGAAGCCCTATGAATGTAGTGAATGTGGAAAAGCTTTCAACCGAAACTCATACCTTATTTTGCATCGGAGAATTCACACCAGAGAAAAGCCCTACAAGTGCACTAAGTGTGGCAAGGCGTTCACCCGGAGCTCAACCCTCACACTGCACCATAGAATCCATGCCAGAGAGAGAGCGTCAGAATACAGCCCAGCCTCTCTGGATGCCTTTGGAGCATTCCTGAAAAGTTGTGTGTAAAGCAGGAGTGAGTCATCAAGCCATTTTCCCCCTTTTGTTTCTGGAATTATGTCAGACCTATGTGCCCATTGAGGGAAAAGTAACAGCGCCATCAAATTGTTTAAGAAGTCACACTTCAGGATCCCTAAGAGTTACATTACTGTGTCCTGCCTTCAGGTGGTCTGTAGGCATGTAATTCTTAAAGTCCTTGCAAGGGAAAGCTGGTCGTGTAGATATTCTTCCACTCAAGATAAAAGCACATACAGTAACACGTCAAGCTTTCTAATAATGGGTATACCTTTAAGGTTGCTTCCCAGCAACCACACCACGTAGTTGATGAGTCAAGATTAGCTCTGAATAATATACTGAAGTTAAGCCACTTTCTGCAAACAAACCCTACTTAGACAACCTGTATTTCTCAATGAAGAGAGATAATTAATACAAAAACTACATTGGGACATGCTGCTCGAGCAAGTTATATATCCAGAAGGTTGTGGTGTTATCTGATCACTGGTAGCCTGCCAAAGCTATAGAAATCTAGGACTGTGCTGGTCAGAATCAAACCAAAGATTTCTATCTCTTTCTGAAAGAGGGCGTATGCACCAGTTTGTAGTTCCAAGGACTGTAACAAATATGGATGGGCCTGCCCTCATCAGTGACATCAGTCCTACTGAAATAGCAACAACTCAAGATGCTTCTCTTCCTCTTCAGTATCCCTCAAAGCACTCTAGCACTCCTAAATGCACTCTCCACAAGCTAGCACTTGATTGTATACCATCTTTTAATCCTTCATCATTCAGTGCTGGAAGCTTTTATCAATCACCCCCTCCCCCCAAAATGATGCTTCAGTTGTCAAGAACTATAGTTATGTTCCTGACAGCACAGCACTGGATGTAATACTAAACACACACAAGGCACTCCTTATGACGGACTTCTAACAGAGTTATCATATTTGTGATAGAGTCTGTGAATCATGTGAGTACCTGAACGATGGTACCTTCAGACCTATAGGCCATGCTATGACTTATTCTGGGGTCAATGTTATTTTTGTCCTAAATATAAACAAAAGCTTGGTTAGTTACCCGCAGGGACTGCAGATCTGGATCAGTAAGTACCACAGAGTGTCAGAAGTGATGTGTGTCATCCACTTACAGAAGAAAACTGTGAACACTAACTATAAAGTGTTTGTTTGTGTGACAGCAAAGCTCTTGTTGGCCAGAGTTCTTTTCAGTTAGCTACTGAATAGTGGTGTTTTGAGCACTTGCTGAGTTGTTCAAAACTTAGCTAATGCTGTTCAAAAGATGTGATGGGTTTTTGTTCTTTTGTTTGGTTTTTGTTTTTTTGTGGGTTTTTTTTTTTTTTGGTAGGTTTTTAAAATTTGTTTGTTTCTCAGAGAAAGGGAAAGTTAAAGGGAACATTTTCCACCACATTTAACCAGAAACTTGTAGAAGCATCTGTCATCATTAGCCGGCAGTAACTGAAGATGTCCTGATGCGCTGAGAAGTTCACCACCACACTGGTGTGGTTGGTTGTGTCATTGTATTTAGTAGCACACAGTGTCTTTTCTATTTCTCAAGAAAGACTAAAGTGAGGAAGAGAGGTTAGGGGACTTTAGCCTTTCCTGTCATCTCTGCAGGTGGCTTGCCAGAAGCTCTTGATGGAGACATGACACATACAAGAGACCCCAAGTATCAAACTATGCAGGTATTGGGGGCTTGAACAGACAGCTTTATTCAAGAAAGCATTGAGATAGTATGGACAGCCCTACAGAACCCTAGAAACATAAGCTAAAGACAAACTTGAAGACTGTTAACATGGACAGCCCACATATGGTTTGAGATTTCCCCTCAAGAAACAACTAAAATCATCTTGCACCAGTTGTTCGTTGACCAGCAGCTAAAGTTGGTGAGACACAATAGCAGCAGGTCTCATCAGGTTGGCACCTGTGGCCTCTACTCCAGGTCAAACTAGAATCCTACAAGCAATCACTGGTCCCTGTTTGACTTTATTTCTTAGACCAATCATACGTCTCTGGTGGCATCTGAGCTGTTTGCTTAGTGCTGCCTGTGAGTATTCTATCCATCCAGCTGAAAATCAACAGAGCTACTCTGAAGATTGCACATGACTCACTTTCTGGAGTGAGGTGGAGTTAGAAAAATGCTTTAAGGTTCTTCCTAAAGGACTGAGTCATAGTGATGGTGAACTTTTGTGTGAGAGCTCTGGCCTGCTGTTAAAAAAAAAGCCACTGAAATAAGGTACAGGACTCCAGGAGCGCATCCAGACACTGGCTTTGATCCCAAGAAAGGACTTTGGTCATTTCCCTGTTGGCTGCTTATACACAGACAATTAACATGCTGACATATGTCAGCCATTACTCTCTGTTCTTAAATGAAATTAAGACAGACCTGTGCTCCCATCCCTCATTTGATTCCCATTTTATTGGGACATCTTACTAGTCACTGGGATGGCTTCAGATCTTCCATAGATGCAATCTTGGAGGCAGCCATCTGAAGATAGATTTTACTTAGAAAGCAGACTATAGGTGGTTATCCAAATTTCTTAGATGTTCAGCAGTGTCACTGCATCATGGTCAAACATGGTGACGTCTGGTGTTAGTGCTCAGGCTAGTGAACAGCCTAAGTGCTTACTAGTTAACCATCAGTGTGCCAGTTGACATGATGGAACTTTTAAGACTTTCTAAATGTACTTTATGACAAAAGTCAGATTCTTCAAGTTGTGAACTTTCTACTTCAGCCTGGCAGGCAAGGCCAAGCATAGATACGTGAGACAACTTTATATGTAAAGCACTTAATATTAAAGGCTTAGACGTGAGACTGTTAAATGTGTGTAGAGAGACTGACATGTTGAATATGTGGGTCAGTCCATGCCTTACATCAGAGAATCGATTCCAGAATGGGACCTAGTCTGAGTGTGATACCTGGCAAAGGTTACACTGTAAATAAACTCTTTATGTGAGGTCAGCTTCATAGTACTCATTGCTTTAGACAGGAAATCCTCTGGTCTGTCCCAGTCATGCAGTAAGTTCCAGAAACTGCCAGGAGAGCTCAATCTTAACTCTAGGAGGATCCACAGGAGAACCCAAGTGTGGGGAATGCTAAAGAAATAGTAAAAACGTACAACTTCTTACAAACTGTAAACGTTGAGTACCTCGATGTATTTTGTAAGGCCATAATGTCAGTGTGTCTTTGTACCTCACCCCTTCTGTCATTCTTTATATTTCTCATAAACGTGTTCCAGTCTGTTGAACAGAGCCCATCACCAGGGAAGGTGGGGAAAAAGTGAAGTTTTGAAGTAATTAAGAAACTGGTTATAAACATGATTAGGTCTCAGAACTAGGGATGTGGAGGAAACTTCTTAGGTTGGTGCTTGTTGAACTGAGAAAAGTCTGAAAAGAGCTCAGTAGAACACTAAAGTGGAACAACTGTACATGCCTCTTCCAAGCTGCCTAGTCTCTGTCACCCAAAGGGAATGGGTGGGCTCTGACTTGGAGGTGGACTGAGGGTCTTGTCCATTGTTACTATATTTGGGGGAAATACATAATCAACAGAGGCTAGGAAGTATACCAGAAAGGCTAGTCTGCCCAGATTCTGTGAACCATGGTGCCATAGTTCTGTTTTCCCAATCATAAATCCTCTATGCTTAGGCAAGTAGGGACGCTGTCCACAGGAAGGGCTACTTTCCAGGAAACACAAGTAGGTTTTGCAGGGAAGAGGCGCTATCTCAGAGTTTGCAAAGCATTGCAAGACATGCTTTTGCTTTCCTGCAAGGTCCTGTCTTTGTTCCTAATCTCTGGTATATTTGTCCTCAAGAGACAGTGTTTGAAGATTCATAGCTGTGAATATTTGTTGATTTAAGATTTTATCTTAGAATTGCCAGCTTTATTTCCAGTAGGCAATGCTGATCTGCTTATCAAAAGGGAACTTGACCAGGCTCATCTTGCCATCCTCATGGAAGACTCTTTTTATCACTGCAGTGACAGTGCTGAAACACTCAAGACAGCAAGTTTGCCACAAGAGCCATTTTCTGTGTCCCACTATGAGCAACTCTGAGAAGTCTGAAGAAGGACTAGGGGTGTGGTTCCCTCAGCACTGCATGGAAAGGATGCAGTGGCACACGCCTGTAATCCCAGCACTGGGGAAGTAGAGGCAAGAGGATTGGGAATTCATCCTCTGTGACATAGCAGATTTGAAACCAGCCTGAACTGCAAGTGATCCTATCAAAAACAAAACCCCCACATAACTATGTATGTGTATATCTGTAAGGGAGCCAGGCATGGTGGTACATTCCTTTAATCCCAGCACTTAGGAGGCTGAAACAAAGATCACAAGTTCACAGCCAGCCTGTCTCCAAAGTAATAGAAATGTGCAGGTATTTCCCACTAGGGAAACAAAGGCCTGTGAATTGTATGAAGTATAGAACCAGAGAGGCAAACTTAAATGATACAAATAAATCACTTCATAGAAGTAAGAGTAGATTTTTATTTCAACTACTACTGGAGGCAAGGAGCACTGTTGGAAAAGTTTTCCTAACATAGATCTAGGCTTTGCTCTTAGTATGGAAACACTACTGTAAGTTTTAAAGAAGTTACTTATTTTGCTATTCATATTTTTTTTTATGTCTGAAAATACCTGTCTTAAAACTTTGTAAAACAAACTTGAAGTTATAGGTAAGGTAAGCCATCACCAATACTGCAGGTCAAACATAAGTTTGGGGAATTGTTTTGATATCCCATAATACTAATGTTCTAGTAGTTTTTTATTATCTGGTTCCATTTCCTAGTTAATACCCCCAATCCCATGTTTCCCTATAATATTCTAAACAGCAAAATGAAGAGTGAAGGTTACTCAGCTCTAAGCTGTGGTTCCAAATGAAAAAAGTCAGTCTGCTGTGAAATTAAGAATTGATTTTTTTGTTTGTTTGTTTAATCTGGGAGGTTGTGATACACTCCCTTACAAAAACTGACTCATTTAACTGACTCAAATTACTTGATCATTAGCCAAATTAATTGATCCTTGAAATGGTCTCTGTTCACAAGCACTCATGAGGTTTCTGAAGGACTGGAAGAGGCTGGACCAAAACTTGGATTTCATTCCAGTTTGACACTGGGGCTAAGTCCTGTTGGTCCACAAAAGAACAACCAGTCACACTGAGTCTTCCTTATCCTGTAGTTTCCAGCATGTTACAAGAGAACGACCAAGGAAGGTCTAGCAGCCTCATGATCTGCTAAGAAAGTGCTGAGGCCAGAGAAGCTTGATTTCAGGGTGGGTGGGTGCTTGCTCACTTTCCTCTCCATCTTAATTGGTAACAGCTTGAAGTTTCCAGTCTGCCCTAGCTGGACTGGGAATGTGAGACCTGGAATCGCTCGGGGAGGGGTGTGGCTCACTTAAGAGCATTTACATAGAGTACCCCATGAATGTGAGTGACCCCAGGACATGGTGCATCTCTTGCCTAGAACTCCCTGGTGAGGGGTTAGGGGTGTGCCTAAGCAATAGAGCATTTGCTAGAATACCCTACTAGTGGGTGGGCTATGATGTGTCTCAGGAGTGGAGCGATTGCCTAGCATATGCAAGTCCCTTGGGTCCAATCTTCTGCACTGCCCCTGCCCAAAAAAAGAGTTCTTACTTTCTCACAGGAGGAGTATTGTGATTAAACAGAAAAAAAAAAATCATCTCCTAAGAATACGAGTGTTAAGGGTTAGGGTGGTTGTGCAAGCAAAATTTTAAGTTGAGTGTATTTTTATAAACTTTCAGTTAAGGATTATTACAACCAGGTCAACATAATAAGCCCAAATTTATATAGAGAGTTAACTCAGGCACTGTCTTTTTGTCCATAGGCTATAGATAAACCATCCTGTTTCGTTTATTCCCGGCATATATTAGAATAAATTAGACCCAAAGAAGAAACTTTGTATGCCAGCAGGATTAAAATCATTGCTGTTAAAAAGTGGATCTTTGATTTGACCAGCCTCGGAAGAGTCCAGATGCTTAGTAGATGTTCAATAAATAATTTTAAAATGGAATTTGTATTAAATCCTCATTCATTTTTCTACAAAGGTTCCTTTTAGTAAATGGGTTTTAGGAGAAAAGGTGGGTCTTTTGGGTTTTTGTTTTGTTTTCCTTAAAGCTAGAGAATTCTAAGCATTGCTGAGATCTAAAGTTTCAAGAGAGAAATAGAAGGCGAGCAGGCAGAAGTTGGTAGAGTGCCTGCTTTAATCCAGAGTTCCATCCCCCGTACCATCTAAACCAGGTATGCTGGCACACGCCTGTAATCTGAGCACTGCAGCAGTAGAGGCAAGA